CGATGGGTGGTGATGACTAGCTGCCTTCCCTCTAGTCTTACACTGCTACATTGCGAGTCGAGTGCCTTAACCACCTGGCCATGCAGGGCCTAGGGTATAGTTAGATAATAGATAATACTAATGAATCAAAATATTTTCCTTTTGTATCTCGACTAAAGTAAATACAGATCAAGTGGCTGTCTGTTTGATGACTCGAATCCAAATGAATGATATAATTAAGGGAGTTGATACCCGGCAATCACACCTCTAAGTTTATGTCGTGTACATAAATTTTGTGAGAGGATCGAATAAATTTCTATAGCGTGCATAGTTATTTTAGATATCGATTAAAATGTTTCTGGACTGATCAGTTTCTAAAATGGAACTGATATCCTGCATAGGCAAGAATATTTATATTGTTGGGTAACGCACTACCAAACTTATCTCAATCCACAAACTTTTTTGTTTCACCAAGTTACAGTGAGAATCTCCGACAGATAAATCGCGTGTTAGGTCAAAAACATTTAGTATATAACTTCCCAAGCATTTGTCATAACTGATACCAATTTCTAGATCTTGAAACTGTTTTCTTATTTCATCAAACAAGGTTTCATAACTTCGTTCATACAAACTGGTATCAAAATCAGGTTGTAAAGGCCGAGCAGAAATTTGTTTTCTATCCATGTTGATTGTCAGGAAATTGATATTGCAGTGTTTGAAATTGAAAGAATTTTTCTTCCAAAACCCATTAAATACAACACCATCAACATATCCTATTACAAAATATCTTATTTCTCGATCTTTGCCTAGCAATAATATGATATTATTTTGTAGGTTGTTTCGGAGTTTCGTATAAAATTATACAACGGCTATCTGCCATAGTCGACCTTAATTTTAACTTATAGACTAAATGGAAGACAACTAGTCGACAGCGCCTATCGACAACTCCTGGACTATTCTTGTTTGATTGAAGTGAAATTTGACTGTCACTCCTACTAGCGTAACCCAGGCTCCAATGTGCGGAGTGCGTTTCTACAGCAACAGATGTTTCAGCAATATATCCTTAGTAAACTCTTTTTGTGATTGTCTCTGCGACGTTATCGTATGCAACAGAATATACGTGTGCACGTGTTAAAGCGTCAAATTGGACCTTATTCGACACCTACATTATTTGTTAATTAATCGAAATCTGAAAAACCTCTAAACAACAGAATAAAAACTGTGAGTTAAAAACTTTCTTTAAGGAAGAACGTTTAACGTCTTAACATTTAAGTGACAAAAGTGTGAAAGCCAAGTTAAACAATATAATTTTAGTCGAATAGCGAAGTTTATTCATGAGAAAGTGCAAAACGATTATAATAAACACCCAATCAAATAATACTTAGGATATTACCCTAGTGTTAGAAAAGGTAACTTGGTACCAAAAGTGAAAGGTTGAATTAAGAAGAGTATAGTTTGTTTTCGTACAACGCTTTGCTTTTCTCATCCAGAAAGTAAGACGTAAAGCTCACAAGTTCAGCTTATTTCTGTAGCCATTCAAATGATGATTATATGTAAAGAAGTTCGAAAAAGAAAATCCCGTTTAGAATCTAAATATCAGTATACCAGTGCCCAAGCATAACAAGTGATCAATGAATTATTATTGAAATGAAGAGCATTTACTAAAAACACTACAAAACTACGAAATCGCAAAAATTAGATAATTCTGAAAATTTATGAGCGTAGAAACATTGTGTGCTAAAATATATTATAGAAATATATTTTTATATTATATGTCATTGTATCTATTTTTAATAATATTATTGGTAAATTGTTTTAAAAAAACAACAGTTCCAATACCAGCTCAGAGAAGAAAATTAAGATAAATTTTGTAGTTTCTAAAATTAACCGACAGATAGAGCCAGTTTATCTAACTAAGAAGCATATCTCACGTGACTAAAACCTTCCCTTGGATTGGCTGCTATTTCTCAGTTCGTGGTATAGGAGATTGTTTAGAAAGACGACGGGAGGTTAAAACTGCAGTTCCGATGTTTAAAGAAGAGATAGTTTCACAGTTGACAATCAACGTTATCTAACTTTTCGTAAACTGCAGCTTTCCAAAGAAGAAGGAGGAAAAGGTGTGTGTGTGTGTGGGTTTTCCAAAACCTCCATCGAAAATTGTTGTTTTCGGTTTAGATTACTGAAGGCGAATTAACACGTTAACAATACAATTACCGCAAGGAACGAGGTTTATTAGAATACGTGTAGAACACTCACAAAACATAGTTCACGTTTCAACCGCAGAGAAGTTGATGTCCGGTAAACTTTTTGTGCTTTCTTTTTGTAAAGGTTCAATTTTAAAGTTTCCTGGTCGTTTTAATCCGTCTGTTTTACTCTCTGTGAATAGTACGATGGTAGCGGACTAGTTCAACTGTCTGTGAGATGATCCAGTCAAGATAGAAATGAGCTCCATGTGGTGCCTGCTAAAATTTGACAAAAGCAATGGCGGACTGTTGTCACGACAAAATATCACCTGAAGATTATACTCATCCTCATCGGCGCATAGATTAATGAATATCATCTCTGAAAACACTTTCAGTAAGGTGTTGTAATTTTCTTTTTTTTTAAATAAGTGAGCTAAACATCAGATGCAATGTTTTGTTTGTTTGTTTTTCATTTCGACGATATTAGGTCGACCAAGCCTTAGTAAAAGTCTTACTGAGGTTTATTAGGTGAATTCGATATTAACAATCAATAACATTATTTTAGTGCGGCTCTTTGTTTTATTAACATTCCTAAAACATTCTCGAGTTATTATAATGTTTTGACTATTAATATTATTAAATATCTTGGAAGACATGCATTTTAGCTAAGAGTAAGATTATGCTGAAAAGAAGGCAATAAGGGGAAGTAAGCTTAATTTTAGCCTACACGGTCTGGAGAAAATTATTATTCAGTTTTCAACGGAATTGTCTTATTTCTTCATAAAAAAGTTACAGAAGACCGTTGACAGAAGATTTAGATGATGGCCTATCGAAGGAAGACTGGATGCCGTAACGGACAAACGGCAAACACCGAAGATGGGCCCCATCTTATCATATATAAGAAGGTAGGAACACAAAAATTTATCCATGTAAAATAAGCAAAAGCTGACGAACTATTTTATTTATATAAAATAATTGATAAGTATAACCACACGCCTTCGAGAAATATTTTTTTTCTATCTTACTTGTTAACAATATTTCCGTTCACATGTTTCTATCCAATCAGGCAGATATAACACAAGAACATACAGATCTAACAATAGAGCAAGAGTCTATTGACCGCACTAAGATTTGTATTAATGTGTAAACCCGTAACAAAATTTACATCAAAACAAGAACGTTTAGTCCCTTCACAGTTTCTAAACCAAAACATTATAACCATAACATTTAAAACAAAAACATCTATTACCATAACATTTAAAACAAAAACATCTATAACCATAACATTTAAAACAAAAACATCTAGACCAGTAACATTTAAAACAAAAACATCTAGACCAGTAACATTTAAAACAAAAACATCTAGACCTAAAACATTTAAAACAAAAATATCTAGACCAATAAAATTTAAAACAAAAACATCTAGACTAATAACATTTAAAACAAAAACATCTAGACTAATAACATTTAAAACAAAAACATCTAGACCAGTAACATTTAAAACAAAAACATCTAGACCAGTAACATTTAAAACAAAAACATCTAGACCAATAACATTTAAAACAAAAACATCCAGACGTAAAACATTTAAACAAAAACATCTAAAAACATAACATTTAAAACAAAAACATATAGACCAATAAAATTTAAAACAAAAACATATAGACCAATAAAATTTAAAACAAAAACATCTAGACTAATAACACTTAAAACAAAAACATCTAGACCTAAGATATTTAAACAAAAACATCTAAAACCATAACACTTAAAACATAAAGAAAAACGTGTAGTTCTTTGTTAATTAGAAGCGAATATATGTAACACGTATACATTAAAATCAAGACCCGAACTAATTCTATGAGTAAACCTAGAATTCCTAAAATATAACGAGAAAGCAAAAGAAATCGAAAATAATTCTACATAAGAAACAACAACTTAGCTTTGGAGTTTGAAACTAGGTTTTAGTCAAAATTAAATTCCATCTATATACTTTAGCTCTGGTTTGAGTAATGTATCATCGTTCATTTTGTACCAAATGTAGGTTTTAGCACGTTTTTTTTTTCTGTTCAGTCTTTGTTCTAGATGATTAACCTCAAGGAATACACATACTAAATATGGGTTTCAGCACGTTTTTCTGTTCAATGTTTGTTCTAGATGGTTAACCTCAGTAGTACGCGAACTAAATGTGTGTTTCAGCACGTTTTTCTGTTCAGTGTTTGTTCTAAATGATTAACCTCAGTAGTGCACGGACTAAATGTGGGTTTCAGCACGTTTTTCTGTTCAGTGCTTGTTCTAGGTTATTAACCTCAGTAGTACACGGACTAAATGTAGGTTTCAGCACGTTTTTCTGTTCAGTGTTTGTTCTAGAAGATTAACCTCAGTAGTGCACGGACTAAAT